TAGTTTATTAAATACCCAGGAGCAGAGAAGAAGATTTTCAAAGAATTCATGTATTTTCTCTGTATAATCAATAGAGCCCCACCCTTACCCCAGAACCCCTGACCCTGGGACCATAAAATTCACAATTTTGGTAGAGGCACTCTTACTCATCATAACTATGTACTTAGTTAGTTTATTAAATACCCAGGAGCAGAGAAGAAGATTTTCAAAGAATTCATGTATTTTCTCTGTATAATCAATAGAGCCCCACCCTTACCCCAGAACCCCTGACCCTGGGACCATAAAATTCACAATTTTGGTAGAGGCACTCTTGCTAATCATAACTATGTACTTAGTTAGTTTATTTAATACCCATGAGCAGAGAAAGAGATTTTCAAAAAAATCATGTATTTTCACTATATAATTAATAGAGCCCCCCCCAACACCAGAACCCTTGACCCTGGGGCCATAAAATTCACAATTTTGGCTGAGGCACTCTTGCTCATCATAACTATGTACTTAGTTTGTTTATTTAATACCCAGGAGCAGAGAAGAGGATTTTTAAAGAAATCATGAATTTTCACTATATAATCAATAGAGCCCAATCCTTACCCCAGAACCCCTGACCCTGGGGCCATAAAATTCACAATTTTGGTAGAGGCACTCTTGCTCATCATAACTATGTACTTAATTAGTTTATTTAATACCCAGGAGCAGAGAAGAAGATTTTCAAAGAATTCATGAATTTTCACTTTATAATCAATAGAGCCCAGCCCTTACCCCAGAACCCCTGACCCTGGGGCCATAAAATTCACAATTTTGGTAGAGGCACACTTGCTCATCATAACTATGTACTTAGTTAGTGTATTTAATACCCAGGAGCAGAGAAGAAGATTTTTAAAGAAATAATGCATTTTCACTATATACTTTTTTAGCCCCGCCCTAGCACAAGTACCCCTGACCCCAGGGCCATGAATTTCACAAATTTGGTAAAGGACTCAATGCTAATTACAATCACTTAAACAGTTTGACTGCTAAATGTTCAGGAGTAAAGAAGAAGATTTTTAAAGATTGCATTAATTTTAGTGGTTTTGGCCCCACCCCTCAGGCCCCAGGGGGGCAGGAATCATGAAATTCACAATTTTTGTTCCCCTTCACCTATATATGCTTTGTGCCAAATTTGGTTGAAATTGGTTCAGTGGTTGCAGAGAAGAAGCTGAAAATGTTCAAAAGTTTACGACCGATTGACGACGAACGACGAACGACGTACGACGAACGACGGACGACGACGGACGAAAACAGATAGCAATAGGTCACCTGAGTGACTCAGGTGACCTAAAAACTGAATCCATGGATTTGCTGTTCTTGAGAAGGATTCATTTTAATCAGTAATTAAATATGAGGATGTGGTATTGGATTCCAGCTCTGAAGAACAAACCAAATTTTGAAGTGCAGTATTTTAGCTGGATTCCAGCTCTGAAGAACAAACCAAATTTTGAAGTGCAGTATTTTAGCAGCAAGAATGCTTAAAGGGAAAGGAAACAGTTTCAACTAATTTTTTTTTCAACTAAATTAAATGTTTATATATCCTAACTAAGGCATCTTTTCATGATCAGCAAAATTTGAACATCATGTTGGTTAACAAACGAGATCCAGAACTTAGAGTTCTTCATAATGTAAACAAGGATTGTGCCTTGTTTTTGTTTACACATAGAAAATATCATATTTTGAACAAAATGAAATTCAGCAAATCACTAGAAACTGTTGAATCGTATTTAGAATTAACTTCTTTATTGAAATTATCTGCTTTGAACGAATATATATAAATATTTAACCTATGTAAACAAAAACATGACATGTACTGTTTACATTACAAATGTTTGGAGCTCTAAATCTGTCTTGTATATTGACAACTGACATTTAGAAAGACCCAACTAGTTAAATATTTGTAAAAATGGAAAAATAAATTTGACTTTGTTTAAGCTGAAACTGTGTCCATGCCCCTTTAAAGGTATTAGAAGGAATACATAAAAAATAATCTACAAGTATACCAAGTTTTGATGGAAAATTTTAGGTTCAAGAAAGAAAACCAAAAGCTCACATAGTGTAAAATACTTATATGGTTGAAGTAATGTATGCCAATTTAGCAAATCTATAACTTATGTAACTGTAACTCATATTTTATTCTCATCATTCAAGTACTGTCTTACTAAAATTTAGAGCTTTATATAAACCATTTACAAATAATTATGGAATAATCTCTATGACTGTAAAAATTCCTTTTTAAAAAGGATTTTTTTTACAAATGCGAAATTAGACTCACTGCAGTTTTATTGAAATGAAAGAGAATGATATCAATCAATATATATATAATACATTATATAACATTTTTGTTGTTTTCATGTAATGTTAAAAATGTAATAAATTTCACTATCATCCCTGAAGAAAGCTGAACGACACCGGAAACAAAACAGTTCTATCACCTGACGAAAGCAGTTATAACACCCTTCCCATCATCCTCAAGTGCTTTTATGCTACCAAATTATAGTTCAGAATTGAGATTTTATGACATTGCAAACCAATGCTTCTTTATAAAAATGACCTTCCTATATATTCCTACCTCTGATGTTTTTGGGGTCTGTGTTTGATCTGCTCCAAAATTTGCACTGGTTAATGGACTTTTAAGCTTGAATGTTGCTTGTCACCTTCACATATTTCGTGTAAAACTAAGATCATCCATTGTAGCCCAAAACTACCCAAGTGGATCATGACTTGAACAAACTTAAATCTAAACTACTTGAGGATGCTTCCTTATAAATATGACCAATAATGGTTCAGTTGTTCTTGTAAAGATCAAGATTTTTAAAGATGTTTCAAATATCTTCCTTTGTAAAACTTTGATCATCCAATGTGACCAAAACCTAGGCTTGGGGGTCATGATTTGAAAAAAAAACTTGAATCTACACCACCTGAGGGTGCATCAATATAAATAAGACCAATCATGGCTTAGTTATTCTTGAGATGATTTTTTCCAATTTTTCCCTACATAAAACTTTGCTTGTCCATTTTGGCCCTAAATAATCCACAGGGGTCATGATTTGAACAAATTGGGCATCGAACCTACCTGAAGATTATTCCACTTGAGTTTCTTGGCCCTTTGGTTCTTGAGAAGAAGACTTTTAAAAGATGCCACTTAATTTTCACAAATACATAATTGTTCCCACTTTAAAGAGGGCATGGTCATTCATTTGAATAAATTTGGTTCCCCCTCAACCAAGGATGGCAAGTTTGGTTGAATTTGGCCCAGTGATTCTTGAGGAGTAAAAACAATTGAAAAGTTTACAGATGACAGAGAGATGGACACCAGACAAAATGTGAACAGAAAATGTCACTTGAGCCTTTGGCTCAGGTGAGCTAGAATGATTTCACACTTCAGGATTCTTTCAAGTTTCCTTTCTGGCACAATGGTTTTTAAAAATATTTCCCCCATTTAATCCTTTTCTTGATTATCTCCCATTACAAAGGGGTCCTTTACATTGAACAAATTCTTTAAACCAAGGATGTTTTATGACAACTTTGATCCAAACTGGTCCAGTGATTCTGGAGAAAAAAATTGAAAAAGGTGAACAGCTTACAGACAGACAACAGATGATCAGAACAGTTCACATGGACCTTGAATCATGTGAGCTTGACTCAGAATTTACATTACTTTAAATGTATAAAGAAAAAATCTTGAAAAATCTAAACATATTTAATTATGAATTAAAAAACCATCTGATTAAAGCTATCTTACTTTTAACAAAATTAAAAAATATTTGACAAAAATTGGCATAAAACATGTTCTTACCCACAACAAATTTTACAAGTCATCAAGAAGTTTATGCTAAATAAGACATTTATTTGATATTACAAATTAGGGATATAATAAAATGATTTTGGCTGTCCCTAGTAAGTTCTATATGTTTCTTACTGTAAACACAAAGAAAAACTAGTGCTAATTGTAACGGGAACCGTATTCCCCGTAAGCTTCATTAAATAAGACAAACTCTGTGCATTTTTTACTTTAACAAGGATACCAATAATATTCAAATTTTAGCATTGTACCCAAGCGCATGTGAATGCATGTGCGTTATGACCATATCATCTTGTCTACACTATCTATATATTTTAATATACTATATATAAAAGCATTCAGTCAAAAGAAATAAAAATAATTTATTCAAGTGTATTTTTACTAATACTGCGTGCACGTGCATGATGACCCTATTTTCTTTTAGAAGTCCCTTACATCTATCTATGTTCTAAATCCCATCCGGTTTGGTTGAAAAACAAGGGAGTTATAGCCATTTCAAGTTTCAGCCAATCAGATTGCAGCACACGTGCATATGCGTGATTTCATGATTTTTTTTTCTATACCATATTGTAGGATATCTTAATGCATGACTATATTTTAAATTTCAAAGAATTTCGTCAAAAAACAAAGGAGATATAGCCATTTAAAGTTTCAGCCAATCAGATTGCAGCACGCGCACACGCGCATGCTTTCATGAAAATCCTTTTATATCATGCTGTAGATCTTTATAATATAGGACTATGTTCAAAATTTCAAAGGATTATGACAAGAAACAAGAAAGATATTGAGACTTTAGTTTCAGCCAATCAGAGCGAAGCTCACGTGCATGCGCGTGAGATCTTGCTATTTTGACCATGCTATCTTGTCTATACTTCTAATGTATCCTTACATTATGAGTTTCAAAAAATTTCATCAAGAAATAGAAAAGTTACGGCAATATCCATTATTTTGGTCATTTCACGTGTTGCACGTGCACGGTCTTGCAAGCACGTGCGCGCAAAATGACCTTGATTCCGCAAATCTACATAACATGTCTACTGACCCTAAAAAGGTTTTACCTACATCGGACGAACAGTTTACAAGATCACTCCCGGACAAAAAAGTACCCAGGAAGAAGAAGAAGAAGAAAAATAATAATAATAAGAAACAGAGTAAAAACAATATGTTCCCAAACTTCGTTTGGGGAACATAATAAAGAACAAAACCACACATAACCTCTAACCTCAATCACACAAACACATATAACTCTATACACTGTCACTTGCTCTATGATATATGAAGTCTTTGATTGAAATACTACAAAAATATCTCTGTGTTATATATGGTTCTTCCACTGTTTATCAAGATGATGATGATGGAGTGATGTAATGTAATGGCTTGTTCATGAGACAATGAGATTCAAGTCTCAACTGCCAGTTTTCCCAGTATTGGTGCTCCGGAATGCAATCTTCAGCAAGTTTTCGCATGTTTCCCAAATAATTTTTCTAAACATTTTGCAGTAAAATCCATCATGCTAAAGATACATTTTTTTGTCCAGAATGTTTTCTTCCCTCAGTGATTTCTCCAACCCAGACATTTCCTCTAGCTGTCACTTTGTCATGCTTACTGATCCAGTGTTGGAGAAAATATAACATTTTTGTTTACTAGATCAATAAATTTTCATGTATTTTACCAATCTATACAGACATCTGACAACCTTTATGATAATGGGAATAACACATTAAGGTAGATCTTCATACAGGTAACTTCTGATTTTACTTCAACTTTTTGACCGTGTTAGTGAACCTCTGATGATTCTGCTTTTCCCATGTGAATGGCGGTTTCTGACAAAGTACTGTGGGGGGTTGAGTGAGGAGTACTGTGGGACACAGTTGGATGTTCTATGGTGGTAGAATGGACACCAGCAAGACTTGCAGCAGCTGCAGCTGCTGCTGCTGCAGGGTTAGGGAAAGGATACCCTGCTCCATTCATTCCCTCAGGGTATCCTGGAAATCCAAAAGGTGGACGCACAGTGCCTGATAAAAAAAATATTTTTTTTCATTTTACTAAGTGGAAGAGATGTTTTTATCAAATTAATCTGAATATATTCAACTTTTTTTTTAATATGTGTTTTGTTTATACATGTTAAAATTTTAGGATGAAATGAGAGAAAAATTTAATTAATCACTAAAAGGACAAGAGGTCGACGGGCCACATTGTTCACCAGAGCACTGTGGCTAGGAAAAAAGCAAAAAAAAAAAAACAACAACAAAAGTAAAAATAACTGTATTCAATAAATAAATCTATATCTCCAGTAAAAATTCGTCAATGGTCATAAAACGAACATATTGAAATCCAACACAATCAATTTCTTTAACAAATGATCAAGATAATTTAAAATAAATCCAGTTATATTGGGGTTGTTTAAGAACAAATCCTCAGCGTTGATACATTCCGCCACTTTTGTAACTGCGGTAAACAAGGGACACAACCTGCATTTTTTTCATGAGCTTTTGTACTTTCAATCAATGAAATCAGGGTTTATAAAGTGTTTATGTGTGTAAATCAGATATAACAAAATACCAACAACAAATTAATTTGTACGAGGATTTAATAACCTTTTAATAGGATATTAAAATTCCCGATATTCAAAAATGACTTTTGTTGCGATCGATCAGCACCGACACGCAAAATTACTGATCGTGGCATTTGCCACGATAAGCATGACAAGGGTTAAAACTCCTGTCCAAGAGGCCTAAAATTCATAATTTTGCTTGTTTCAAGAATTTTTCACTCATACTGAGATACCCTTTGCTGGTGAAGGGATGTATATTTCACTTGGCACTCAGAACCATTGAGAAGTGAAGGATCTTTTTGAGTCTCAATTTCTGCTTAATACGCGGAGAGAAAATTACGCAGATTTCTTAGACTGTCACTATATTCCTTACATTTATATCTAATACGCTTGGACAAATTTCCGCGGAAAATTTGTGACCATGTACATAGCATAAATTAATACCATGTGGAAAAAAAGTACTTCTACAGTATATTAATAAAGAACATCTATTATCTGATTACAAAAACATGTTTTAACAATATGGTTTTTATCATTTTATAATACCACAGCTTTTGGCAACCCGACATCATCAATTATGTGCTTTAAATCTTTCTCATTTTTAGCGATTAAGAAGCATGAAACAAAGACGGATCATAACAAAATTAACTGCTTAATTCCAAACAAATGTATTTCCAATTTTCGTATTTTCATACTAGCAAAACGCGAGACGTATTTTAAACTAAAAATCCGTACAAAATACGGCGTAAGAGTAAAAAGGTCTGGAGTCTACAGCAAACGCTCTAGCCACTGTGTCCCATGAGCGACACATGAAAAAGTAATCTTTGCTCTCATCATAACTACATGTATGCACTTAATTTTCCATCTGCAAAATATCTAGTAGCAGAGAAAATTTTCAAAGAAATCATACATTGTATTTTCAAAGAAATTGTACATTTCATTGTTACAAACATACCAGCAGAAAAATACTCCTTATTGACACAATTGCGTAGACTGTCAGGAATTCTCCCAACAATTGCTCTTCGGATCTCCCCAGCTGCCATTTCACGAAGTTCTGTCACACTCTGCTCACTGTAGAATGATGAATGAGGGGTGCAGATCAAATTTGGACAGTCCTTTAATGGACCTGACAAAAAAATTTTTTAAAACATAAGACAAATTGGTATAAAATCACTCAAATAAAGTGCCCCGCCACTAAGGCTGGCTTAATTCAGGATTCGATCGATTCAGTGTGGTCTTGGTTCAGAATGATTTGGTTCATTTCATTATACCCTTTTCACTTGAAAAGTGGGAGGGTTTATAGTGAACTTGATGTCCATCTCTCTGTATGTCCATCTCTTATGCTTTTGGGTACCCATCTCTTTTTTGCAACACCTCTTATACCACTGATTGAAATTTAAAGAAACTTTCACAGAATCTTTGTTACATAGTGCCATTGTAACAGATGGACAGACATACAGACGGATGGACATCCTATCACTTTCCCATTATAATAATATGGGAGGTCAGGGGTATCATTTAGCGAGCTCAGTACTCAACAGTACCTCTAGTTTAAACTAGAACTGTCCAAATGGAATAAAATACCCCCCCCCTCCCCCCGATGGGTTTTTCAGAAGTGCTTAATCATGAATATTTTATGGATCTAAGAGAAGAGAGAAATGCTAAAGCATTTTTAGTGCAAATGTAATTGCTCATTATATTTTTTATAAATGAAATGAAGGCGCAGCCTAATAAAAACTAGAACTGTCCAAACAGGACAAAATATCAAAATACTCCCCGCTGGGTTTTTCAGAGGTAAGTTTTTCCATAATAAAGATATGCATCAAACATGAATCATACAATTTTTCTTCCAGTGACCTTGAACTTGCAAAGATGACCTTGGGTCAAGGTCATGACACACCACTAGGTCATCGGCAATCTTGGTGTGAAATGAGAACCTACCAAGTTTATCCATAAGAAAGATATGGACTGGACATGAATTATGAAAGTTTTCTTCCAGTGACCTTGAACTTCCCCAAATGACCTTGGGTCAAAGACATGACACACCCTTAGGTCATGGGCAATCTTGGTGTGAAATGAGAACCTACCAAGTTTATCCATAAGAAAGATATGGACCGGACACGAATTATGAAAGTTTTCTTCCAGTGACCTTGGACTTCCCCAAATGACCTTAGGTTAAGGTCAAGACACACCCTTGGGTTATGGGCAATCTTTGTGTGAAATGAGAACCTACCAAGTTTATCCATAAGAAAGATATGGACCGGACACAAATTATGAAAGTTTTCTTCCAGTGACCTTGAACTTCCCCAAATGACCTTAGGTCAAGGTCATGACACACCCTTGGGTCATGGGCAATCTTTGTGTGAAATGAGAACCTACCAAGTTTATCCATAAGAAAGATATGGACCGGACACAAATTATGAAAGTTTTCTTTAAGTGACCTTGAACTTCCCCAAATGACCTTGGGTCAAGGTCATGACACACTCTTGGGTCATAGGCAATCTTTGTGTGGAGTAGTAGATTCTAATGTTCCTCCGTAAGAAAGATATGGACCGGACATGTTTGCACAGACAGACGGACAGCTTGACGCATTACTATCGCATAAGCTCTTCTGGTCTCTGACCAGTGGAGCTAAAAAATGTACTTTGCCCATATTGCTTTAATATTGATCAGTAGATTTCAGTATTGGTTGTTGACGAGGAAAGGGGGTATGGGGCGTGTACAGAATGATCGGAATCAAGAAGAAAAGATTACATCAGTGTAAGTTATTACTAATCAAAGTAGAATACTTGTTTTCCGCAAAATAATTTAATATTCAGATGTACGTCAGTGCCTACTTATTTTTGTCTTAGTGTAGAAAGGTCAATATTTATGATAAAAAAGTATGAAAATTAAACAAAACCTCATATTTCTCGTTTATTTTATCACAAAGGTATACTTTTTTCGTTACTACAAAAATAAAAAGATAATTCATTTCTTCAAAACTTATGAATTACAACATTTTCACACAAAGACTTTTTAAGATACTGCCTATCATGCATGACGCAAAATACGACAAAAAATGGGGGTAATACTTACATTGTCCCCCATTATAATTTTTCATGCAAAATGAATTGCAATGAATTTGCCTTCATTTTGAAGATAAGTCAAATATTTTTCTTTTTTAGCACATTTTTCTGTAGAAAAATAATGTTTGTAAATAATCTATTTTTAGCATCTCACACTGTTTTTGCAGGTGCTCCTGTATAAAATTTAGCATATAAAGGTATTACTTTTTTGCCTTAAAATTTTAAGCAAGTGGCCAGGAAAGAAATGTCAAAGTTTTGAAAATTTCACACCAAGACTTTTTGGACATAGGTCCTCCCTTAAATCAAAATGCACTTGTCAAATCGGACAAGTGTCCAGCAATATTCACTTGTCCGTAATTTTTTTCACTGGTACTGGACAAGCGTTAATGTTGAGCCCTGATTAATGTTTCAAATAGGAGTGGAGAGAGTTATTGCAGCTTACTAGTGGAGAAACTAAATGGTTCATTTTCATGGACATCTAATGCTGCTGCTCGAATTCGGCCATCTTTTAATGCTGCTGCTAGGGCATGTTCATCCACCAGGCCTCCCCTTGCAGTGTTTATCAAAAATGCACCTGGAAAATACATGCAGGAAAGAGAACTTACAAAATGAATGAAGTATACAACAAGAGGCCCATAGGCCACAATGCCCTTCTTCAAAAGAGGTAGATTTTCTCTTATAAAATTTACCATACCAAATTTGAACTTGATTGAGCAACCGTAAAAAAAGTTATTAGAAAAAAAACAGAAAATTTGTGGATGGAAGAATGACAGACGGACAGACTTTTAAACAAAATTGATGAAAAGCAGGCACGTAGCATCGTTTTTGAAAGAAGGGGGGGGGGGGGCAGCCAGAGAATTTTTTTTCATATACCTGTAAAAATTGACAAGCAAATAAAAAAAAAAAAAAAAAAGAAAAAAGAAAAAAAAAAAAAAGAAGAAATTGCTCAAACTCGAAAATCCTATTTTGTGGGGGGTGGGGTGGAGGGGGGACTTTCATCAATGCCAACGTTCTTCCACTACCAATTGTTTTGCAAACAATACTAGCCCCCATGTTGCTACATGCCTGCAAAGCATCAAATTGGTCACAAAAATTAGCTTTTTCTTTAAAAAAAAAAGTACAAAAACGAAAACACAAGATTTCCAAAGTATAAAAATTATGATATTTTGAAACAAAGATAACCACCATTTTCGCTAGCTAAGGGCTTGAAAAGATGGATAAACCGAAATGGCACGTAAACCAATTATTTATGTAAATTACTTAATCCAAACCAAACCAGCAGTCTCTGTCGAGACTGAAGCTCTACTGGTTTGTACTTATAAAAAAGAAAGAGAAAAGTAGCAGTTGGGATATAAAACTTTACAAAAGCAATAAATAGAATAATGACAAAAACCGATATACAGAATTATGTATATTAATGTAGTCTACTTGTGTGCCAAGTTATATTGAAATCAGACCAAAACTGTAGGAGGAGTAGCATTTTAAATGTATTTCAAAGAAATTTCTTTTTTTTTTAAGTAACAACAGCAACACCGTTCATTGAAACAAAAATCTATATACAGAATTATGTATCTTAGTGTAGTCTACTTGTGTGCCAATGTTATATTGAAATCAGACCAAAACTGTAGGAGGAGTAGCATTTTGAATGTTTTTCACAGAAATTTATATTTTTAGTAACAACGGCAACACCGTCCTTTGAAATCAAAAACCAATATACAGAAATATGTATCTTAGTGTAGTCTACTTGTGTGCCAAGTTATAATAAAATCAGACCAAAACTGTAGGAGGAGTAGCATTTTGAAAGTATTTTTTTTTAAAAATTCTATTTTTAGTAACAATGGCAACACCGTTCATCGAAATCAAAAACCACTGCACAGAATTATGTATCTTTGTGTAGTCTACTTGTGTGCCAAGTTATATTGAAATCAGATTTAAACTGTAGGAGGAGTAGCATTTTGAATGATTTTCACAAAAAATTCTATTTTTAGTAACAACGGCAACACCGTTCATCGAAATCAAAAACAGATAAATAGAATTATGTATCTTAGTGTAGTCTACTTGTGTGCCAAGTTATATTGAAATCTGACCAAAACTGTAGGAGGAGTAGCATTTTGAATGATTTTCACAAAAAATTCTATTAACAACGGCAACACCATTCATGGAAATCAAAAACCGATAAATAGAATTATGTATCTTAGTGTAGTCTACTTGTGTGCCAAGTTATATTGAAATCTGACCAAAACTGTAGGAGGAGTAGCATTTTGAATGATTTTCACAAAAAATTCTATTAACAACGGCAACACCATTCATGGAAATCAAAAACCGATAAACAGAATTATGTATCTTAGTGTAGTCTACTTGTATGCCAAGTCATATTGAAATCAGACCAAAACTGTAGGAGGAGTAGCATTTTGAATGATTTTCACAAAAATGTCTATTTGTAGTAACAACCGCAACACCGTTTATCGAAATCAAAAACCTATATATACAGAATTATGTATCTTAGTGTAGTCAACTTGTGTGTGAAGTTATATTGAAATCAGACCAAAACTGTAGGAGATGTAGCATTTTGAAAGTATTTTACAAAAAATTCTATTTTAAGTAACCAAGGCAACACCATTCATCGAAAATTTAAACAAGAGGCCCAGGGGCCACATAACTCACCTGAGAAAATCGGCTAGGAAAAAGCACAAATCAGATAGAACTGAAAAGTTTACTAAGGGGGGGGGGGGGGGCTTGAATTTTTATACTACTTTAGAATGCCTTCATATTACTACAGCATATGACTTTGCTGTTCTTGATAAAAAGATTTTTATGCGCCCGGATCGATAGATTTGAGGCGTATATTGTTTTTGTCCTGTCTGTCTGTCTGTTTGTTTGTTTGTCTCCAAAACTTTAACCTTCGCCATAACTTTTGAACCATGAAAGGTAGAAACTTCATATTTGGTATGCATACTTCACTAATGGGTTGCTTTCAATTGACACCAATACTAATGACTTTGTGACCTTGAATGTGACCTATATGCTAAAAATAGCTTTTCTGTCTGCAAACTTTAACCTTCACCATAACTTTTGAACCAAGAAAGATAGAGACTTCATATTTAGTATGCATACTACACTAATAAAGTTCTTTCGAATGACATCAAGGTAAATGACCTGGTGACCTTGACTGTGACCTATATGCTAAAAATAGCTTTTTCGTAACTTTCACCATAACTTTTGAACCATAAAAGATAGAGACTTCATATAAGGTGTGCATACTCAACTAATCAAGTTCTTTCCAATGACATCAAGGTCAATGACCTGGTGACCTTGACTGTGACCAATGCTAGTATGCTAAAAATAGCTTTTAAGATTTTTGTTGCCGCCGGGCGCATTGTGTTTCACAAACACATCTTGTTTAAAAACATTTTCTTCCTATATATAACTTCATAATAATTTGAGTTTGATTCTCCATTGTTTCTCTCCCTACCCCATAGGACCATGATTGAAAAAATTTAAATCTTCAATACATAAGAATGCTTACATGTCAATATGATGAAACATAACTTTTCTGTTCTTGGGATTTTCCCCTTTATTTTTCTATGTAAAACTTTGATCCACCAATGTGGCCCCATCCTACCCCTGGGAGTTATGATTTGAACAAATTTAATTCTACACTACAGGAAGATACTTCCATATAAATACTGGTATCACTAATCATGGCTTTGCTATTTTTGAGAAGAATTTTCGGTCACCTGAGTGACTCAGGTGACCTACTGCTATCTGTTTTTCGTCCGTCACTGTGCGTTGTCCGCCGTCCATTGTGTGTTAACATTTGAACATTTTCAGCTTCTTCTCTGACAACACTGAACCAATTTCAACCAAATTTTATATACAGCATCTATGGGTGAAGGGAAAAAAATCGTGAATTTTATGGTCCCCGCCCCCCTGTGGCCTGAGGGGTGGTGCAAAAACCACTAAAATTCATGAAATCTTTAAAAATCTTCTTCATTACTCCTGGACATTAAGCAGGCAAACTGTTGATGTGAATGTAATGAGCATTGGGTCCTCTACCAAAATTGTGAAATTCATGACCCCAGGGTCAGGGGTTCTAGTGCTAGGGTGGGGCTCTATTGATTATATAGCGAAAATGCATTAAATCTTTGAAAATCTGCTGCTCTGTTCCTGGGTATTAAATAAACTAACTAAGTACATAGTTATGCTGAGCAAGAATGCCTCTTACAAAATTGTGAATTTTATGGCCCAAGGGTCAGGGGTTCTGGTATTAGGGTGGGGCTCTATTGATTATATAGTGAAAATGCATTATTTCTTTCAAAATTGTCTTCTCTGCTCCTGGGTAGTAAATAAACTGACTTAGTATATAGTTATAATGTAGCAATAACAGGCAATTTTTAAAATAATTTTGAAACCACACTTATTTTACATCAAAAGAAAATGCATTATTTCTTTCAAAATTGTCTTCTCTGCTCCTGGGTAGTAAATAAACTGACTTAGTATATAGTTATAATGCCTCATTCAAATTTATGAATTTCATGACCCTTGTTTCAGAGGTTTTACTATTTTGTGTAAGGGGGGGGGGCTCTTTTGATTATATATTGAAAATACATTAATTTTTTGAAAATTGTTTTCTTTACTCCTGGGTATTATGCTAATTATCCACGTTTATATATTTATGAAGTAAGGTGCATCTAGCAAAATGGTTAATTTCCTGCCCACTGGGGGGGGGGGGGTTACATGGTCTGAAAATAAATTAATGCTTTGAAATCTGCTCTTTGGTATTAATCAGCCATTTATGATGAAATAAAATTTATAATAAAATTTCCAAAATTGAAATATGTGGCCTCAGGGTCAGTGGTTCCTTAACAGGGTGCATAACTGGTTATAAAGTGGAAGTGCATTTTCTCTTTGTTATTCTGATCTACCTCTGGGTATTAAGTAAATAGAGTAAGCATGCTTAGTTTATAATTATGATAAGCAATGGTGACTCTTTCCAAATTTTCAGAATTTCATGGCCTCTGGTTTAAAACACCAACCAATTCAATTGATGCAAAGTTGTTACATTATACTCAGGTGACCTATAAGGGCCTCTTATTTTTAATATATTTTAATGTAAAACTTAGATCCCCCATTGTGGCCCCACCCTATCCCTGGGGGTTATGATTTAAACAAACTAGAATCTACACTACATGAGGATGATTCCATATAAATATCACTAATCATGGCTTTGAAGTACTTGAGAAGACAATTCTAAAAAATTTCCCTATCTAGTCCTATGTAAAACTTTGATCAACCATTGTGGGCCCACCCTACCCCCGGGGGTCATGATTTGAACAAACTTGAATCTACACTACCTGAGGATGCTTCCACATGAGTGTCATCTTTCCTGGCCCAGTGGTTCTTGAGAAGAAGATTTTTAAAGATTTTTCCTATACACTGTATATATTCCTATGTAAAACTTGGATTGACCATTGTGGCCCCACTCTACCCCCGGGGGTCATGATTTGAATAAACTTGAATCTACACTTCATGAGGATGCTTCCATATGAGTTTCATCTTTCCTGGCCAAGTGGTCCTTGAGAAGATTTTTAAAGATTTTTCCTATACATTCCTATGTAAAACTTTGATCGGCCATTGTGGCCCACCCTTGCCCCGGGGGTCATGATTTGAACAAATTTAAATCTACACTACTTGGGGATGATTCCACATGAGTGTCACCTTTCCTGGCTCAGTGGTTCTTGAGAAGAAGATGATTTTAAAGAATTTTCCTATATATGTCTATGTAAAACATTAGTCAGCCATTGTAGCCCCGCCCTACCCCCAGGGGTCATGATTTGAACAAACTTGAATCTACACTACCTGAGGATGTTTCCAAATAGATATGTTCAATTATGGTTTTGTTATTCTTGAGAAGAAGATTTTTAAAGAATTTTCCTATATATTTCTATGTAAAACTTTGATCAGCCATTGTGGCCCTGCCCTACCCCTGGGGGTCATGATTTGAACAAACTTGAATCTACACTACCTGAGGATGCATCCATATAAATATGATCAATTATGGCTTTGTTATTCTTGACAAGAAGATTTTTAAAGAATTTTCCTATATATGTCTATGTAAAACATTAGTCAGCCATTGTAGCCCCGCCCTACCCCCGGGGGTCATGATTTGTACAAACTAGAATCTACACTACCTGAGGATGCTTCCATATAAATATGATCAATTATGGCTTTGGCATTCTTGAGAAGAAGATTTTTAAAGAATTTTCCTATATATTTTTATGTAAAACTTTAGTCGGCCATTGTGGCCCCGCCCTACCCCCGGGGTCATGATTTGAACAAACTTGAATCTACACTACCTGAGGATGCTTCCATATAAATATAATCAATTATGGCTTTGTTATTCTTGAGAAGAAGATTTTTTAAAGAATTTTCCTTTATATTTCTATGTAAAACTTTGGTCGGCAATTGTGGCCCTGCCTTACCCCCGGGGGTCATGATTTGAACAAACTTGAATCTACACTACCTGAGGATGTTTTCCCTTAAGTTTCATCTTTCCTGGCACAGTGGTTCTTGAGAAGAAAATTTTTAAAACATACCATCAAATTTTCATTAAATTCCCAATTATCTCCCCTTGAATAAGGGCGTGGCCCTTCATTTGAACAAACTTGAATCCCCTTTACCTAAGGATGCTTTGTGGCAAGTTTGGTTGAAATTGGCCCAGCGGTTTTTGAGAAGAAGTCGAAAATGTGAAAAGTTTACAGACAGACAGACGGACGCCGGACAAAATGTGACCAGAAAAGCTCACTTGAGTCTTCAGCTCAGGTGAGCTAAAAAATCAAAAATTAATTATTCTTTAGACTATAAAATTCTAAGCGAGACATGGCTGCAACTTGTTGCAAATATATAAAATTTGAAATGTACACATTTTTAATTAATTTTAATTATATTATACAATACTAATTCAGTCTTAATTATACACTAAAACATCAATTTGTTTTAATTACATTACACCAATTGAAAGATCTTTATCTGAACTACAGTCATCAAGAACTCTTAATTAACACAACCAACTATAAGGCCATTTCTTTTTGCCCAACTCCCAAGAGATAAATTAAGATAATACTGCATGATCATATCTAGAGATGCTCTTTTCCAGTTAACTCCCAACAATGAACTCATTAATTTCTCTCTAATTTGACATGCACATTTCTGCTATCAAAAATTCTCCTTGACCAGTGCTTGATAATTATGCCCATGGGACAAACTGAATTCCTCTCAAATCATTAACATTTGTTACAGAATTTGCTGTAAAGTATATGATGAAAAAATAAGTTTTTACTTAATTTAACATTTTTTAATAAGGATACAACTATATTTTTACATTTTTCAGGATTATGAAATTTAAAATTTTAAAGACTTAGTTTTTTTAAAACATCAATTGAATTAAAGGTCACAGTGACCTTGAAATAGGTCGTGACACACCGTCTACCCAAGAGCATAAATTGTCCAAGTTTGATGATTGTAAGTCTAATAGTTTTCTAGTAATGAGCCAAACAAAATCACAAAATAAAAAAGAAGAAACGCCTGTAAAATGCAGAAAAATCAACCAATCATGATGAAAATCCCAGGTGCACACCTTCATATGGTGAATAATAAGTGTATAAATTTTCAGACAAATCCATCCAACAGTTTCTGAGAAACGGTCCAGACAAAATCTTGTCTACAGACAGACGGACATGGTGATTCCAATATACCCCCCTAAACTTCATTTGCGGGGGTATAATTAATCAATAGTTTCTCAGGCACCGCCGCATCAGTTCAAAAACGGCCGCATTTATCAATTTTATTGACATATTGAAAAGGGAAGTAACTCTATTTTCCATTTTTCCAAGTTGAAAAAGAAAATCGAGTTATTCCCCTTTTCATAAATGCTAAGAAAGACATTTGTATTAGAAAAACAATATATTTCTTCTAAATCTAAAGTATTTTATCAGTTAACTTTTAAATAAATGTTTGGAATAACATTATTTAATGTTGAATACATATAACTAATTTCAGAGAACAAAACTTAAGAATTAGTAGATATGATCAGTTTACTGCACAAATGACTTACAAAAAAAGGTGTAAAACCTGCTTCAAAAAAAAAAAAAAAAAAAAAAGCCTGCCTCCCGCATTGAATTTTGATTTTTTTGGCCTGGGAAACTATTAATTAATTTTTTTTGGCCTAACCACGTCAACACTGTTCATCAAAATCTGATGCACTAAATTGTATCTTAGTGTACAGTAAAAATTCTATGTAGATGTATTTCAATTTACCTGTAGCTGTCTTACCTGGCCGCATTTGTTTGATGGTATAGTCATTAATGAGGTGATGATTATGTTCATTCAGGTTACAGTGTAGACTTACACAGTCACTTTGAAACAAAAGATCTTGTAAAGTATATACTCTAGTAATGCCTGAAATTAAAAAAAACAGATCAAGATTAATCATTAACTTAGTGCCCATTTGATTTTAAGTCCTCCAGTAAATACTAGTGCTGGGGATTGAGACTGAAAAATTGTATTGTGATATATTTAAATACTCCATTCAGTATTTTAATATATCACAATATAAAATTCCTAATAATTTTCACTTTTCCCCCATGTTAAATGAAAATATAAATGCCAAAAATATGTATTCTCGAGTTGATATTGACATTGCCTGTGTCGAGGAAGAATGGCTGGCTGAGTTTGTTTTGACACAAGAACTTTTAAGATCATGTTGCATGATCAGATACAGCTTTAACTCTAGGTGGTTTTGTGTAATTGCTGTTGTCTTTCATTTCTGATCACATTTTGTGTCATCTGCCCCCATATTTTACTTAAGCAAGAGCACCGCTAAGCGGAGTGGAACATCACTGGTAATGGCAATATCTCATGAGATATAAATTCTCAAGAGGAGTGTTGAAGATTGATTGTACTATGTATGTTGTTTAATGTCCCTCTTGAGAATTTTTCACTCATATGGAGACACCACCACTTGCCACTTGCTGGTGGGGAGCTGCAAATTTTGTCCTATACTTGCCACTTTTGGCCATTGAGCAGTGAGGGATATTTTTTTGTGCCAGCTCCCAGCTTCTGCGACATGGGCCCTCGGTTTACACATTTAATCCAAGGGACCAGTCTCCACATCCCACAGTGGGATTCAAACAGGCAACGTGAAGATCAACTCTACTATAAAATAAGATGAAAATAACATGTATTGCAGCACTTTTCTCCTGGAATAACCTTTCTGCATGAACTTCTCAATTATGTTTTTGACATCTGACCCCCAATCTCTTTTCCTTTCAGACCCATCTTTTTTTATTAGTCTTGCTAATGGTAAGATTCCCTATTTCAAGCCTTTCACTTGCTAGCAAAGTGTACTTCAGAAGTGTAGGCATGCTTAGCATCTAACAAAAATTAAAGAGAGAGAGAGAGAGAGAGAGAGAACAATCAAAGGAATTTACGCCTGCTGTTCAATTCAATTTATTTATAATGAATACAAGCAAATTCAAAGAATTGTGGTCCCCCGCTTGCAGTGTCTTTTTAACCTCTGAACGGTAATGGCTAGGGCTTTCATACTTCACATATGTAATCCTTGTGAGAAAACCTTTCATTGCATACCAACAACTTTCACCCTTTGACCTTAACCTTGGAGTTTGACCTACTTTTAAAAAACAAACATTGACCATAACTTTTGAAGGGTTAGGACTAGGACTTTCATACTCCGCATATTTAATCCTTTTGACAAGACCTTTCATTGAATATCAAGAATTTTAACCCTTTGACCTTGACCTTGGAGTTGACCTACTTTTAACAAGAGGCCCATGGGCCTTATAGGTCACCTGAGTATTGTGTAACAACTTTCAAAAATTAAATTTGGTTTGTGTTTTAAACCAGATGCCATGTAATTCACAATTCACAATTTTGAAAGAGGCACCATTGCTTATCATAATTATTAACTTAGCATGCTTACTCTATTTACTTAATACTTAGAGGTAGATCAGAGTAACAAAGAGAAAATGACTTCCACTTTAAAACCAGTTGTGCACCTCACACCAAAGGAACCACTGACCCTGGGGCCACATATTTCAAAATTTTGCAAATTTTATCATAAAATGGTTGATTAATGCCAAAGAGCAGATTTCAAAGCATTAATTTATTTTCAGACTATATAACTCCCCCCCCCCTCCTTGACCCAGGTGGAGAGGGGGGGGGGAGCATAAAAAAAATAACCATTTTGCTAGATGCACCTTTCTTCGTCATAAATAAATATACTTGGATCATTGGCATAAAACCCAGGAGCAAAGGAAAAGATTTTCAAAGAATTAATGTATTTTCACAATATAATCAATAGAGCCATACCCTATCACCAGAACCCCTGACCCTGGGGCCATAAAATTCACAATTTTGGAAGAGGCACTCTTGCTCATCATAACTATGTACTTAGTTTACTTGATACCCAGGAGCAGAGAAGAAGATTTTCAAAGAATAATGATTTTTCACTACATAATCAAAAGAGCTCCGCCCTACCACCAGAACCCCTGACCCTGGGGTCATAAAATTCACAATTTTGGAAGAGACATTCTTGCTCATCATAACTATGTACTTAGTTAGTTTATTTAATACCCAGGAGCAGAGAAGAAGATTTTCAAATAAATAATGCATTTTCATTATATAATCTATATAGCCCCGCCCCAGCACTTGAACCCCTGACCTTTGGGCCATGAATTTCATAATTTTGGTAGAGGACTCAAAGCTCATTACATTCATGCCAACAGTTTGCCTGCTTGATGTCCAGGAGTAAAGAAGAAAATGTTTTAAGATTGCAATAATATTAATGGTTTTGGCCCCACCCCTCAGGCCCCAGGGGGGCGGAGACCATAAAATTCACAATTTATGTTCCCCTTATCCATAGATGCTGTATACCAAATTTGGTTGAAATTGGTTCAGTGGTTTCAGAGAAGAAGCTGAAAATGTTCAAATGTTAACACACGACGGACGAAAACAGATAGCAATAGGTCACCTGACTTACACAGGTGACCTAAAAACTTTAACCTTGTCCATATAACTCTTGAACGGTAAGGGCTAGGGCTTTCATACTTCACATATGTAATATTTGTGACAAGACCTTTCTTAAGAAACCAACAACTCTGACCCATTGACCTAAGAACTTGACCTACATTTCAAAAACTTATCCTTGGCCATAACTTTTGAACAGGTGGTTCTAGGACTTTCATATTTTACAATCGCATTTCTTGTGAGAAGACCCTAAATTGGGTACCAAAATATTTAATTTGCATTTAAGAAAAGTTTAATCTTCGGTATGTTGTCATATCAGGTTATCATTGTTTCACAAACACATCTTGTTCCTTATAACTTTCGATTGAGAAGATGGTGACATCTCTGCCCCCTACATAAAAGATAAACTATGTTAACATGCAAGATAATTATGTCTACATGCAAGATAATTATGTTGACATGCAAGTTACAAATCTTATAATAGAATCTGATTTTAATATGGTTAAATCACTTACGTAAGCCCGTATCTGACATCGTAGATGCAAGATAATTATGTCAACATGCGACTTATTTATGTCAACATGCAAGATAATTATGTAGACATATACTTATTTATGTCAACATACAACTTAGTTATGTCAACATGCAAGTTATATTTTTACATACAAGATATTCAACTTACATATCTTGCATATTAACATAATTATCTTGCATGTTGACATAATAGAGTTGCATGTTGACATAATTATTTTGCATGTCGACATAAATTAGTCGCATGTTGACATAATTATCTTGCATGTTGATATAAATAAGTTGCATGTTGACATAATTATTTTGCATGTCAACATAAATAAGTTGTATGTTGACATAATTATTTTGCATGTCAACATAAGTTGCATGTTGACATAATTATCTTGCATGTTGACATAAATAAGTCACATGTTGACATAATTATCTTGCATCTTACATCTACAATGTCAGATACAGGCATTAGTTAATTTACCCCTATCTAAATTATGTTTTCTTATGATTGGTTACTTGCATGTCAACAAAATTAACTTGCATGTTGATATAAATATGTTGCATGTCTTCATAATTATGTTGCAATGTTAACACAATTTATCTTGCATGTAGGGGGCAGAAATATGCCACCATAGAGAAGAGATAGGGCTTTCATATTTGACATGTGCATTACCTGCGCCAAGATATTTCAAAGCATGCTATGATTTCTGACCCCTTGACCTTCACGATTGACCTTATTTTTTAAAAATTCGGTGACAATTTATAATAGGTAGTTCATAACAAGAGGCCCATGGGCCACATCGCTCACCTGAGCACTAAGGGTAGGAAAAAGTAGAAAATGGCTTTTTATTGTAAAGTTTAAATCCAAAAGTGTCCCATGACCAATCATGGATTTGCTATTTTTAGAAAATGATTTTTAAAGAATTTTCCTATATATATCTTTAAAAACTTTGGTCGGCCATTTTGGCCCCGCCCTACCCCTGGGGGTCATATGGAATTCATCATATATAAATATGATGAATTATGGCTTTGTCATTCTTGAGAAGAAGATTTTTAAAGAATTTTCCTATATATTTCTATGTAAAACTTTGGTCGGCCATTTTGGCCCCGCCCTACCCCTGGGGGTCATGATTTGAACAAACTTGAATCTACACTACCTGAGCATGCTCCCATATAAATATGATGAATTATGGCTTTGTCATTCTTGAGAAGAAGATTTTTAAAGAATTTTCCTATATATTTCTATGTAAAACTTTGGTCGGCCATTTTGGCCCCGCCCTACCCCCGGGGGTCATGATTTGTACAAACCTGAATCTACACTACCTGAGCATGGTCCCATATAAATATGATGAATTATGGCTTTGTCATTCTTGAGAAGAAGATTTTTAAAGAATTTTCCTATATATTTCTATGTAAAACTTTGGTCGACCGTTTTGGCCCCGCCCTACCCCTGGGAGTCATGATTTGAACAAACTTGAAACTACACTACCTGAGCATGCTTCCATATATATATGATGAATTATGGCTTTGTCATTCTTGAGAAGAAGATTTTTAAAGAATTTTCCTATATATTTCTATGTAAAACTTTGGTCTGCCATTTTGGCCCCGCCCTACCCCCGGGGGTCATGATTTGTACAAACTTGAATCTACACTACCTGAGCATGCTTCCATATAAATATGATGAATTATGGCTTTGTCATTCTTGAGAAGAAGATTTTTAAAGAATTTTCCTATATATTTCTATGTAAAACTTTGGTCGGCCATTTTGGCCCCGCCTTACCCCCGGGGGTCATGATTTGAACAAACTTGAATCTACACTACCTAAGGATGTTTCCCCATAAGTTTCATCTTTCATGGCACAGTGGTTCTTGAGAAGAAGATTTTTAAAATATGCCACCAAATTTTCATTAATTCCCAATTATCTCCCCTTGAATGAGGGCGTGACCCTTCATTTGAACAAACCTGAATCCCCTTCACACAAGGATACTTTGTGGCAAGTTTGGTTGAAATTGGCCCAGCGGTTCTTGAGAAGAAGTCGAAAATGTGAAAAGTTTACAGACAGACAGACAGACGGACAGACAGACGGACGCCGGACAAAATGTGATCAGAAAAGTTCACTTGAGCCTTCGGCTCAGGTGAGCTAAAAATGACATCTCACCCACAAAAACACCAAAAGTGGGGGACCACAATTCTTAGAATTTGCTTGTTTAATTTCATTTATCCACATGAAGGGACAAGGCTTTTCAATATTGCATAGATTACTCCCCTTCAATTGAAGAAGGTTTGTCTTCATTATATTTATATTTAGGATGTATTCCTAATTCAGATTGATTATGTTGATTATGCAGTAGTGTCAGCCATTTTACAGAACTCTTCTGTATTTTTCACCACAAAATACATGCAAGTCTTGTTTGCCCACTAACCTACTACTAACTCTAGTTTGAAGAATTTAGCTCACCTAATGATTTCTCAACTCCATCTTGCAGATAGGGATCATAAAATATAACATTGAATCCAAAAGCCTTGGCACGCAGGGCAACTGCAGAACCCACTCTACCTAAACAACAACAACAAGAAAAAAAAACATAGGTAATCAAAGATTACAAAACTCACATCGACGAATGTTATCAGTTTAGGTAATGCAAATCTCACATCATATTTTTTTAACAGTATTTATTTTGACAACAATATTCAAGCAAGTTCTGTTTAAATAGGTCTTAAAATTCTTTGGGGATTGACCTGTTCCAAAAACTTTAACCTTGTCACTCGTTTGGAAATAGTTGGTCAGATCCAGCATCCGAAGCAAGTTTCGATTATCCATCCTTAGATGTATCATCCATGCAAGTTTGGTCTGGGTAGGGGTTTATAGTTACTTGGGATTGGACCTGTTCCAAAAACTTTAACCTGGTCACTCATCTGGAAAGTGTAGGTCACATCCAGCATCCGAAACAAGTCTGGTAGTGTCCATCCCTCGATGCATCATCCATGCAAGTTTGGTCCGGGTAGGGCTATAGTTACTTGGGAATGGACCTGCTCCTTAAAATTTAACTGGGACGCAGACACCGGGGGTATAGCATAAGCTCATCTCGACGAAGATAAAAACTCTCACAATTAATTCCATTAAACTGGTAATTTTAATGGTAGTTTTACTAGCATTGAATTCTCATTTTGGATATCAGCACCTAGCCGTGCAAACAAAATAAACTGTGTGTTAAGTGCAGTATGATAATATTGAGCCTTTGGCCCAGATCTAGAAGAGCTATAGCACACTTGAAAAATTATATTGATCTGTCACGAAATATTTTATCTGATTCCAGCAAAATAGGAAAATGTTTCCTTGATTTAAGGTCTTCATTTGCTAAACCCCCCTTAATGAGGTTTGCTCCCCAGCTTTTCAGCAGATTTTTGTCTTGACCTCTATCTAAAAATTCTGAATAATGATTTAGTTTTTACAATAAATTTAGACTCTATAATGCTAATAATTAAACTATATTCAATTAAGACCCCATATGATTCAATTTCAAACCAAAAATATTTAGTGGGGAACTATAAGTTTGTGGAAGGTTTTACAGTAGAAAAAGATCAAGTTTTCCTCATTCAGTCATAAAATTAGCAATATTCATTGACAGATTTTTTCCAAAATGAGGATTTTGTCATTGAAGCTGCCTTGAAAAGTGCGGAAATTATCCCACCCAAATACAATGTGAAATTAAAACAGATGCTTTCAGATAATTTAAACACTATGAATATTCTGAATTATTATTTTTCTTTATTGTTCTAACTATCTGATTGGCTCAAACAAGATCACATGATTAAGTATAAAAAGTGTTATAGACTGGATGTTTCTATTTTAGAAATTTATAAACCTGCTGTTTCTAAAATTGGAAATGTTCTCCTGTGAAGCAACAATAGTGCTGACGTCACAATAGTCTTTATAAACTGGATATTTCTAATGGTATTCATTACTGTGAAGTCATAATGCAAATGACATAACAATACCTTACTGTAAACCAACTTTTATTCGCGACAATTTTATTTCGCGATTTACCAGGGGTAAACTACTTCGTGACGATTAATTTTCATGATTAAACTTTTCTATCTGTAGTTAAAACTGAACACGATTCATAAAAGGATGCTGATTTTTTTCCCGACCAACCTATAAATAGGGCAAGGCAGCCATAATTGTATATTATTATTTTTCTAGTTGTATCGTAGATAATGCTAACGTATGCCTATTTACGATTGTGTTCTTTAATAGACGTGTAGAGACTTTAAGGCCCAGTTCAAGGCGATGATTACAAGGCTCTCGCGATTTGTGAAAATTTCTCGCAGTGTAAAAGTTGGTTTACAGTATATGAGAAGGTGCTGAGTATCAGAAAGAAGGATTTATGACATTACTTAAAACAATCATAGCCTTTTGATTCGGTACAATCCCTAGATATATAACCTTATAGAAAGCATATGCTTTCTCTGAAATATTGGAAATGGCTATAATTGTATATTATTATTTTTCTGTCCGCCATTTTTTTCCCGAGTCTCGCTACTCTGGAGACACCTATAAATAGGGCAGAACTTAGTCACTGTTCAGTGTAATCAGTCGACATCGGTGAAGACGGACGTATGCTATACAGAACTCGGTAGCGAGAATAATAACGTAATACTTCATCTAATGCAGGAAAATAAGATACCAAATAAGTTTACAATTGTAGATGTATAAGTCGGTGCAGCATACAAACAACACAGATAAACGTAACTGCAATAAAATACAAACAGAGGTAATGCATGATAACCACCACGAACACGGGTCGCCATTCCACACCGATACCCGTGACAATAAAGCAGTCAGGTGTAACGAATGCGACGAGTATACCCTAGTATTGATGTATCGTAGATAATGCTATCGAAAATGGCGTATGCCTATTTACGAGTTGTGTTCAGCTTTAATAGACATGTAGAGACTTTAAGGCCCAGTTCAAGGCGAGAAATATTCACGATTACAAGGCTCTCGCGAACTTTGTGAAAATTTCTCGCACGTGAATAAAAGTTGGTTTACAGTATATGAGAAGGTGCTGAGTATCAGAAAGAAGGATTTATGACATTACTTAAAACAATCATAGCCTTTTGATTCGGTACAATCCCTAGATATATAGACCTTATAGAAAGCATATGCTTTCTCTGAGGTCTATATATCTAGAGATTGACCTCATCAAAAGGCTATAATTGTATAATATTTGAGTATACAGGTTCGAGGTGAGAAATATTTGCGAATACAAGGCTCTCACAAACTTCGTGAAAATTTCTCGCATGTGAATAAAAGTTGGTTTACAGTATATGAGAAGGTACTGAGTATCAGAAAGAAGGATTTATGACATTTCTTATTTAAAGGATTAAAAATAATAAAACAATCATAGCCTTTTGATTCGGTACAATCCCTAGATATATAAACCTTATAGAAAGCATATGCTTTCTCTGAGGTCTATATATATCTAGGGATTGACCTCATCAAAAGGCTATAATTGTATAATATTTGAGTATACAGTAAAACTTGGTTATAACGAACTCACTGGGACATATGAAATTACTTCGCTATATCCGTAATTGGTTATATCCGTATAAAGAATTTGTTGAATATATGTATAGCTAGGCATCCACAATAACTTCGCTATATCCATGAATTCTCAATATCTGTGTTCGTACTAAACGAGTTTTACTGTATAGTGTTATATATATATACATATTTATTATTTGTATATTGTATTACGGACTCCGCAATGGACCCTTAAACATGAATAATAGAAACTTCATACAAACACTTTATAGGGCGATATCTGTGGGGTGATATCTTTTAAAATTTATTAAACAAAACTGTGACTGGGCGAATTTAAAAAAATTGTTTGCAAGTATGAAAGGGCGAAAATAAAGCGGGGTGAAAATAACCCTGTACACAGTAAAACAAATACGAAAAAGAATTCATTGACTGGAATTTTTTCAGCTCAAGGCCTTGTTCCTCCTGAAGAGTGTAAGCTTTCACTTCAGATTATCAAAGAAAGTAATCAAAGAAATATAAAAAATTCAACTTTTCCTTTTTGAATATTTTTAGCATCACTTTATTGTATCTTATTTGTAGTTTCGAAATATGTCAGCCCAATGGGAAAAAAAATACGACAACATTCCGGTTATAAGAGAAAAACTATATAATTTGAGAATTTGTCTTTCCCATTAATATCTTTTAAAGATAATGAATTTGGAATGATAATTAGGTATGTTATTCAGATGCAAATGTCTTAAGTAACTTTTAAACATTTTTAAATTTCCTGTCATCAAAATAAGAAGTTGTTCGAGTGAGAGTGTACTTATATGAGTAATAATCTTTGAGAAGTAGGCAAAACCCTTGAGTTGAGAGCGCCAGCTGTCACTTCTGGTAGACATATTACATTTGACTGTGTATTCTATTTAGTGCCTTTTGCAGAAAGCACCTTCCACTAAATCAAGTACATCAGTAAATCTTTTGTTTACATATACAGGTGACTCTTGATCTCTCAAAGTTCAAGTTCAAGGTACCGCAAGAAAAGTTCGAGAGATTGAGGGGATTTACAGTCAACTCGTACCCAAACCGAGTCATACACAAAAAGTCAACTCGTACACAAATCAGAAGTCAACTCGTACACAAACTAAACTGTCATTGGCACATAGGTTTTCCTACGTGATTTAACCCCTTACATGGCATATACGCATTTCTACGCATCTGACTTGAAAAACGAGAGTAGTGTGAAAAAACATTCATAACTTCGTTCATACTGCAAATATCAGAATAAATCTTACACTGTTGGAAAGAGAAAATAATTACGATAAAATAATATACAGAAATTTTTTTTGATTGGTTGTACAAGTTTTTTGAGTTAAACTTTGCGCATAATTTGAGCGATTTTGCCATTATCGAAATCAATGCTTGGGTAACATGTTCTATGTAAAAATGCTAAATTCTGTTGAGTACCTCCCAACCCCACCCCATCCCCCCAAAATACTTAAAATTGGTTTGTAAAAAAAATGTACAACATGCTTATAATTTTCAACACAACAATAAAATATTTTTTAATATATTTAACTAAGCAAAAAAATTGAATGAAACTCATTCTTCAATAAATGGAAATTCCAGAATGATTATGGTGTATTTCATTGCCATGGCAACTGAAATTATATTTTTATAATCATTTTCAGAAACTACACACTACCTGCGTTCGGAATATATATACATTGGTATATAAAAAAATTCCAAGAAATACTCAAACAAGAGGCCCATGGGCCACATCGCTCACCTGAGAAGCTTTGACCATTCCGTTCTTTACCACAATTCCCCCTTGCAATACATCAGACATGATTCCCAAGAAAAGGAAAAGAGCTGAAGGGGGGTCTGGGGGTCCTCCCCCAGCGGGGTTTCAAGGGGCAGCGCCCCTGATCAGGGGATCCAAAAATGGTTATTTTAACATTTAAAAGCCCCCTGAGAACTGAATTTTAGAGCAAATATTTCAATTTTGAATGTAAAAATAAACATGAAAA